AATCAGCATCATCACCATCACCATCATCATCATCGTCGTCATCATCATCATCATAATCATCGTCAAACATTCAGCGGCAACCTAAGGAGCAGAAAGCGGTAGAACAGAAGCGGGTCCACAAAAACCTAGGAAGAAGAAACCACTCGTAGGGTCTGAAACCGTCCGACAAGTGGTGATTGTGCTCAACAGGGCTTGGCCTGGAGGCTTGGGCCCAAAACCCAAAGCCCTAAATCCATCGATCCCTAGTTTCAGAAGGTGCTGACCGGCTCGCATAAGGGTTTACCAGGGTTTACTAGGCTTCGGCTGACTCTGGTTTCTGAACCAAACAAAGGTTAAGCTATTCAGTCTAAATATATATTTTTGTTTTTGGCTCACCTTTATGTTTATTTTTTACCCTCCAACTTCATTTTCCTCTGCGCGAGCCAGGGCTTTCGCTTTGCCAGGTCTGCAGAAAGACGTGAGACGGCTGCAGGGATGCAGTCGTGGAGGAGCCGTACCATGGTCCCGCCAGGAGGCAACCGCTCCTTGGGCTGTCGGTGTTGAAGAGCTTACCCTAACCCGCCAGGTACCTATACTGTATAGGGTACTAGAGCAAGGGAGGGTCATTTCCCAGTTCGTTCCCCAACCTACACCTATACCCCCCCCCCCTACACTTCTCCATTTCTAAAGCCACCGCCCAATCCAAACCTTATACCAAAACCCCTAANNCTTTACCTTAACCATAATATAACCAACATCCTACCCCTGAACTGGGAAATTCTCCCCTTGTAGGAAAAAAAAATTAATAATAATAATAATTATTATTATTATTTAATTAGCAATGCCTACATCGGTATAGCTTGCTCGGTGCTTCTATTATTTTAAAATCTATTTGTTCCAATCGTTCTTTACTACAAACAAACCGTGTTCCTTGTTTGTGTATTTCTAACCAATGATACTTCTGTAGGCTTTTATACCAAGTGAATCTAGGAGTATATACATACGGTTCATTTAAACAATTTCGTCCGTCTTGGGCTTGTTCCATAAATTGCCCTAAATCCCTAATCCCTAATCCCTAAACCCTAAACCCTAAACCCTAAATCCTAAACCCTGAACCCTTAGCCCAAACTCCCAAAATTGGTCGAGGCGCCGAGGGATCGAGGAAGGCTGCGAAGGAGAGCACGTCTCGATCCTCAGTGCACTGCTCTTCGGCTTTGGGGCTTTTCCCTCTCGCATGGGGTTTGGGGTTTTGGGGTTTGGGGTTTAGGGTTTTGGGCTTTTTGGGTTTAGGGTTTTGGGGTAGTATAGGGTTCTGGGGTTTAGGGTCTTGGGGTTTGGGTTTTAGTTTTAAGGTTTAGGACTTAAGGGATCGACTGGCACACATACCACGGACTCGAAGACGTAAACCCGAAAAGCCACCCAAAATTTGCCGACCGCGACCGGCGCATCGGGAAGGAAGCGCAGGAGGAAGCTCGACCTGGGACATGGAGGACAAAAAAGTGACGAAGGGCTGGGGGGGCGACTTGGTTCATACCTTACCTGTAGCCGAAAAGACCTACATGTTTTTAGGATTCCTATTCCTTTACATGGCTTCTATATTATTATTCTTATTATTATTAGTATTATTACTATTACTATATATATATATATATATACAGAGTTCCTTCAAAAGGTAAGTCTTTTGGGCCACAGGTAGAGTTCAGGGTTTGCATATAGGGGCTCCGGGTTGGGAGTCAACGGTTGAAGGGTCCAGGGTTGAGAGGTCCAAATTTCAGGGTTAATATAGGGGCCTTAATAATTTCAATAGGGTTCGGCGGTATATTCTACCATAATTATAATCAGGAGCCCCCCCAAATGCCAAAACCCTGTTCTAATTATTAAGGTGCCTACATTAAGGGTTGAGGATGGTTTGGGGCTTTAAGATTTTTGCGAGGTATAAAGTTTGAGGATTGATGGTTGAAGGTTTCGGGCTTCTTGTTCTTGTTAAGGCCTTTGGAGTGTGGTGATTTCTAGGGATCAACAAATTTAGGTTTGCATTTGGCGCCCACGGAAGGTTTGGGATTGGGGTTGGGGGCTTTAAACCGTAAGCCCTAAACCCTAAAACCCTGTGTTTTCGAATTGAACTTGATGTTTCCATATTTATTTGGAGCTTAAAAAAAGTGATGAGGCTTGGTTTTCCAGGGATTGAAGATGGGATTCTTCGCACCCCAGAATACAACATCTACCCACCCCGAGCCTGAGTAACGCCGTCCAGGGCTCAGGAACTTCAGACCCAGCAATGTAGGGGCCTTAAAAATTAGAGTAGGGTTTGGGGTTACATTGTACTTCAATTATACTAAGGAACCCCCGAAACAGTATTGGTCATTATTTAGGTCCCTATATGTTGCACCCCCCCACACCCTAAATCCTCAAAACTCCTAGGGTTTAGGGATTTAGGGTTTACACGCTCGCAACTCGGACAATCCAGGCGAGGTTCATCAGCCGCGGTCGGTGTGAAAACTAGTGAAGCCTCCAATCACCCGCTCGAAGGGTTTAGGGTTTAGGGTCAGCCCCAAACCCAAAAACCCAATAACCCAATAACCCAATAACCCTAAACCCTAAACCCTAAACCCTAAACCGTTTTTCCAGAATACCTCATGACTCCAAGAGTCCACGGCCCCATTGCTCATATGGTATACGATGCTGAGAAGCGAAAGTACCTGTACAGGAACCCACGTAGGCCCGAAGTATGTACTCTACAAGTACATGGGCCCGGAATGGTATGATTCCGATCCCGAAACACAACGAAGCCAAGGTGTATACTACACAAGGAGTCGATTGCAACAGCACCCACCATAAATCATAGATTCATAGATAAGCCTTTATCTTAAAAAGGCAAGGGGAACTGAGAGCTATCCCAACTCGGTCCCTAGTATATATGGTGCATTGGGATTTCCAGGGCAACCTTTAAGCCGCACAATTCGAGCCGCAACAGCTCTCCCAAAGCCAGGCTGCTGCATCCACTGCATGGCCCGACTGCATGCGCCGACGGCGGCGTTACCGACACCGTAGGTGAGAGGCATCTCCTGTGCGGCCCCAAAACGCGATTTAGCGATTAGGGTTTAGGGTCCTAAACCCTAAAAATCTCAAACCCCAAAGCGCTTTGGGGATTTGGGTTTAGGGTTGGCTTCAACCTGTGGATTTGAATAGACATGTAGGGCTTCGGGACTCTATGGTTTAATTTAAGGCCTCAAGAAGGGTACTCAGGGCTTAAGGTGTACGTCAAACTACCGTATATCCTACTTTTTATGTAGGCTCTTATTGTAAGACTCATATAGAATTTGTATGGGCCCAAGGAAAAATGGGGGTTTCCGAAAATAGGGGACCCTAGTATAATACCCTAAATAGTAGGATCCTTATTACAAGGACCCCTAAAATAAGGTACCCCTCATCTTCGGAAACCCCCACATGGTTTTGGTAGTTGAAGGTGGCTGGGGTTCAGACTTAGCACTTGGAGTTGAGGCGAAGGCCTCCGTTCAGCGTAAAGACCGACCCGTCCCTACAAGGGCAACTCCGCAACTCCTGTATTCCAGGGTTTAGGGTTTAGGGTTTAGGGCATGACGCCAATACTTGGAGGAGCCCTCTTGTAGAGGGGCGATATAAGTAAGGATTAGAATGCAGTTGGGGGGGACATTTTGTAGTATAACGTTCGCAGGGAACCCTAAGAACCAGCATCGCTGATTGTTCAGGACCCTATATCCTTTGAAAGCAGGGCTAAGCTTCCTCCAGCAGCTGCAGAGCAGTGGTCCAGAAAGCTGACCTCTGGCAGCAGCTCATAACGGGGAGGTTCATGGCCTCGTCTGTCTGGAGGCCTCGTCAGGATTCCAGTTAGGTGGTTGTCAAAATTATGGTCCCTTTTTGGGTCCTTATTATAATACGGCAACTATTATTTAGGGTACCCCAAAAGGGACCATAATTTTGACAACTACCCAGTTGGGTTTAAATAGGGTTTAGGGTTTAGGGTTAAGGATTCCGTAGACGGGGAGGTCCAATAACTGAGTATGCGGGAATTCAGGGTCTAGATTGGGGCCTATAGGGCTTACCCATGGGCCCCATAGTAGTTCCTTTTTGTGGCTTATATTTAATTTAGGAACCACTATGGGGCCTATGGGGTCTTCACAAGCAGGATCCCGCTTGTACTAGAGTCTCATGACTTCTGAGCTCGCACGTTGCCTTCGGCGTACTTACTGCGGGTTGAGGGGCTACCCGGACCCCAATTATCCATCGAACCCTAAACCCGCTTTACCAAAGGCTAGAGCACATTGAGGTGTCGATGCCAGGAACAATCCTGTCCTAGGGTTTCATATCATATCTGACTTCTACTACAGGGTTCGGGACGTCCCAGGTAGTGTGAAGGAGAGCTCCTGGCATTTCCAGCGTTCGACGCAACTTCATAGCCGAATGCCAGCGCTGCCCCACGTCGCAGGCAGTCAACGTCGCGGTCATGAACACCGCATCCTCGGCTACACCGGTAAAGAGGTTCCAAGGTGAAGGAAGTTGGGCTTCAAATCCAAAGCTCACACAAGATTTCAATTCAAAGTGAAACCCTAGGTTGCCCAGAAACAAGAAGAACTCGACGACGCCCGTGTAGAACCCTTACAGAATTATGAAACTTTTCGAGTTTCTCGTGCACTTAGTGAAGCCGGAACCATTAAGGAAACCCAGCCCTACACCCTACCTGTAGTCTCCATTGTAGTTCCTTTTTGGGGATACCTTATAAAACCCTTAATATATAATTGGTTAAACCAAAAAAAGGAACTACAATGGAGACTATAGGTATACCCTAACAAAACCCTAAACCCTAAAAACCCTAAACCCTAAAAACCCTAAAACCTAAACCCTACAAGGCCTAAAACCCTAAACCTTAAAAGCCCTAAACCCTAAAACCCTAAACCCCAAACCCCTAGAGCCGCGCTAAGCCCTAAATCCCTATTACTAATCCCTAAAAGCCCTAAAACCCTAAAAAAAACCTATATAAACCCTAAACCCTAAACCCCGAAAAGCCTTAAACAAGCCCCTACGCCCTAAACCCTAAAACCAAAAAAGCCCTAAACAAGCCCCTAAGCCCTAAACCCTAAACCCAAAAAAGCCCTAAAAGCCCTAAACAAGCCCCTAAGCCCTAAACCCTAAACCCCCAAAAACCCTAAAAGCTCTAAACAAGCCCCTAGCCTAGAAGCCCTGAAACCCAAAAAACCCCTAAAACCCTAAACCCTAGGGTTCCCCTTATAATTTAAGGTGTATTCCTTAACTAAGGGGTTTTGGAGTCTCTGGGGACGGAGCCCTAAAAGCCCTAAAACCCTATATAAACCCTGAACCCTAAACCCCTAAAAGCCCTAAACAAGCCCTTAGCCTAAAAGGACGGAGCCTGGCGCCGGGTCTCCGGCTCCGGGCCACCCCCCAGACGGAGCTCCTCGAAGAGCCAGAGGCCAAAGGCCCAAGCCAGGCCTCGCCTTTAGGGCTTTAGGGGGTTTAGGGGTTTTAGGGTTTAGGGGTTTTAGGGTTTCGGGTTTAGGGTTTAGTTGTTTTAGGGTTTCGGTTTCTGGGGCTTTACAGAGCCCGATGGAATAAGAGTCGTTGGGTTTAGGGTTTGTGATGAG